GAGTTTGTATACCCCCGGAAGCCGCTTCCTCTAGCGCAAGGTGCTGTGTAACCCTGTCTCATTCGGAAGCGAGAGCTGGAGGAACTTAGTGAGGAAGACAGCGATAACGAGTAGCATCTACACTAATAGCAAACCTGGTGTGGTGTTGAAAGAATGAGGTCTGACACACGCCGACTTTTTCCTCTCTTCTTGCGCTCACCAAATTTCGAACGATATCATCCTACTACTTCCTGCTAAGTCTAAAACTGGTCGAAAGTTTGGTGAGCGCGCTCCATCACCTCGTGCTCACCACCACCACTAAAACCACGGCGACGCCGCGACGAATTTGGAGAACTCTTATCACTTTGAGAAGGAGATCAACACAGAGAGGGTTGCGCATCGCTCCATATGCAAACTTGCCCAATTGCGAGCGTAAGATTTTCCACGTGGTGGATACATTGTAGATACTTTGTTCACATGCGCAGCATTTTTGCGTCTGTTCGCAGCGTCTATCACATTAAGGGCTTGGAACAGATAAATTGTTGCGATCTTCCAACCTTAGTTTAACTAAGTAATTCCCTTGTTCTATCTAATACAAATTATTTCGCCGCGTTAATTGGGTTAATCCGGCATACACATTCGTATTGTCAACTACCAATCTTTTCAAAAGACAAGCGGAAGATAAGCTAGAAAGCTTGACGACGCGGAGTGGGAGAATATCGATTTAAACTCGTCTCTCACTTGAGGTGCTGTTTCATCTTCTTGAGTGTATAGATTGTCAGACTCAGCGATAATACCTAATGGCTGCAATGCCTTGCTTTACACCTTTTCAACTTCCTCAACATCTTTTGGAGCGGCCTCGTTGCAGTCAGACCGAGCATAGCATTCATCCACCTGCTCAAAGTCATCCCACAGGTCTCCAACTTCGTTTTCCTCGTGGTAGGGACGACATAAGATATCTCAGGCAGTTCATTTCCACTCAAGCGATTGGAAGCCGCGATGCCTTCAATGACTTTTGTGCGAGGGATACAGTGGATATGACGTTTAAGCTGAAACTGAGTCGTTGTCCAGCGCAGCTCATACAAAAGGTCATTACTTGGTCTCGCATCCTCCCTTTTTTCTTCTTCTGCACACATGACACTACTTCCGCCAAGTATGCCTCGCCGACGACACGATACTCACTTTGCGGCAGCCAGCCTTCTTTTTTGGGCGCAAAGCAGACATTAGCACCAACAAGACTCACAGCACCAAACATGTGTGATCAATTGTCTCGCTCGTCCTGGTGGACGTTACCCGGCTTGCATTTTCATGTTGTGGCTCAATAGATTCACTTTCAGATGACACAGCTTCTAGCTCAGCAGACGAAGACGCTCACGGAAACGCTGTACTGTTTCTGGTTTCAGGTTCGTTTCTGGTTCCCTTGTGTTTTCATCCAAGCTGTACCTCGACCATTTCACAAAAAACTGTCGGTCGTTCTCCTCTACAATCGTCTTTACTTCGTATTCGAAATTACTGTCTTCTTCACGAACATTAGTGATATCTTCGTTTTGCGCAGCGCCTGCGCTTATTCGGGACAAAATCCGCGATGAACGACTTGAGCGGGCTGCAATACCATCCCCGCGCTGAAAACGATCGACAAGCTGGGAGGTCTGACTGGCTGACGATAATGCAGTGTCAAGCGTTGGTTTGGTGTTCTTTAGCCTTCGAGCCATGATTCTTTTTAGGATAGCGCCAATGATCGAATAAGGCAATCATGAATGGTTCCAATGTTGGTGGCGGGGGAAATGCTAAGCTCTCTGCAACTCGTCACAGCATACAATAAGTGAGAAATTTGCCCCACCATACCGAAAACAGCAAAGTTCTCTGCCACTGATCTGTACAGCTTAAAGCCACAGTACAATCGTCCATCAGTATTATTCGTACGGATATTGAGAAGAACAAGCGAGCTCGTCTTATAGAAAAACCAACCCTTGTAATTGTCACTATGCTCAACAAGTTGTAGTCTATTGCCCGCACACTATATCGCTCTGCACTCAAATCCACACAAACACAACCCAATTAGCTACGTTTGCACATCAGCACCACAACGTGTACCATACGCAACGCTTCGCTAGCGCCGGAGAAAAACCAACGGCCCCTGGGACTCGAATTCATGCCGCCATCGTGGCCAATAGCACCCTTAACGAATCCACCACCGCGCTGAAGCCCGACGTTGCCAGGAGCTGCGCCGTCTAGGGCTTTGAAGCGCTCGATCTTCTTCATACTTGCTCTGTCTGCACCCAACTTGCGCCTGGACGGCGCTCTGATCAATGTTTGGAAAAGAGAAATGATGCGTAAATACAAGTAGTCGTGACTGGGAAGTTTGAACTTTGAGGCTCTTAAAAAGCAAGAAGAAAAAAAACACAGCTCGACGCAACGCTGCACTACGCTCTCAAGTTCGATTCAAGGGACGCCTGGACCCAAAGATCCCCCTCGTTCCTTTGGAGCAACCCTTCCAGCGCAAGTACATTTGTACTCACGGTTGGTCGGAGCGTGAAAGGTCTACCGGAAAACGAACGTCACACACGTTACGACGCACGGAGTGTCCACTCCAGATGCTTGCTCAGCTAACACAGAAGTCGGATGGATCGTGGGTCGTCATGATGAGGTGTGAGGTGTGAGGTCTACCAGCTGGGCCCTGCTACAAGCCATTTTGAAGATGAAGAGCGCTAGTTAAGAGACTTTGATCTCTACATGTTTGATACCTGGATAAAACCTAGAAAATACCTGTGTTTGTGTGATGAGGCCCTGAGCTTATGGTGCTACTGAGCTTGCAGTCGTGGTGTTCATTCCATCTTTTTTCCAAGTCGTAGTGAGGGTTGCTGGTCTTGGTACTGTGTACCAGCTGTACCCATTAACCGATCAACCTGAACCGATCCAATACGATCCCGCTGTGATTATAGTACGTTGTTTATGCCACCCATAATTGGACGAGTAGGATGATTGTTCGAGTACAGAATGATTGGATGACCTAGGTAGTGAGAACAGTGTAAGCCCCGATAAATCAATCACTTTCGAATCTTCCTTCTTCCACTCAGGTGTCTTCACTCCGGTCTCCGCACCAAGTGCAGAAGTCACTCCGTTCAGCCTCAAGCTTCGTTCCAACACCTCTACACCGTTAACAAGTCGGACACATGCTAATTGAACAGGTGTTATACCTGGACAATGCCCTGACCACATTTGACCATATTTGTCGGCTGCGAGACATTCAGCTCTGCTCACTTCCATTTTTTGTTTAGCACCGTACATACGTTTGTCCAGATACTTTAACCTGTAAAAATCTGGTAGTGAAATATAATTATCCAAAATAAATTACGCCTTCTGATTCGGAGAAACTGCATGAAACCTGGAACACAACCTGGATAATACATGGCGTATCAGAATTCTGATTTAATTATCTGGAAAACCCGGACGCGAAGGTCGTCCTTTACAAAACCTTTGGCATTTCGTGTTCCTTTCACTTTAAAGAGAAGAGCACGGAATGCTGAACGTCTCTAATCCCACTTGACCAAGCGAAGATGTTGAGTCTTAATATCACAAGGTCTAACGTGTCCGCTGAGAAGAGCAACACTGGTGTCGAAGAAGATTGGTGTGGAGAGTGCAATGTTCGGCTAGCTCTGGAGCTCGGTGCTGGTCTGTCTGCTCAAGCTTAAGCGCTCTTGAGTACCGGTATTACCGATACTGGTCTGGTAATGCCAGCCCGAACGGAAGTCTTTTTATTCGTTTATAGTGAGCTTTTCGATAAATTACAGTTTGTTGGCGATTTCTGGCTACATGCATGGATTACTGTGCATCTCAGTGATCGCGGCTGGGTGTACCATCCAAATTACTCACCCATCGCAATCGCTTACGTTTGTGGTAGCACTAACATAATCTGCGACTGTAGTGCAGTATGTACAGTACTTCGAGCCTCAGAGCAGCCCGTTTATGCTTTGATCATTAAATCACAACAAAGCGATATCCCCATAAGTTTGATTTAGTTAGTCTCACGAGGTAATTCGAGAGCAACGACTGAAACCTCAGAGGCGAAATCTGTAATTGTGCTTGCTATGGTCCTACGTTATTTTTAGCCAAAAACACACATAATTGGCTATTTGGTACGCATGTGGGAGTTTATATGAGGAGGCGAGTCATTCTGACCAATAACTACTCTAACTTTGTACACTCAGACACAAATAAACGTTTTGAGCTCAAAACTGAAATAAATTTACTTCAGCACTTGATACGCTTGTTATCAAAAGATCTACATTGGATTGTCGTACCCAATAATGTGGATTTTCTTCTCTTACCGTGCATAACCTGTCGTTTCAGCATTTATCAGAAACAGCACCTTTACTTTAATCAGGTAGAATGGTGATTTATATCTGGTATCCTCTGTACCAGTGGTGTCACCCAGGTGAATGTTGCATGTGGGCGGCATCACTGTAAATTACGACTAGCCGAAGTATTTGTTTTGCGTGAATGTTGTCCGAACAGACCTCAGCGCAGATGATTATCATACCGCCAGTAGCCCTCTCGTGATCGCAGTGCGACTCGCAGTGTAATCGCGTATTTACTACGGCTACGGTATGCAGGACTGCAGTAATATTATAGGATGAAATGCGTCAATAAGGAAACTCTAATATCCTTGTAAACATAATTTGAACCAAATTGATAGGTACAGGCACTTTGAGTATGCTGAAAAGAGCGGCAATAAGGAACACACAAGAACTAATATCCTGGTAACCGTTAAGCAGAACAAGTTGACAAGAACTTAGGCGAATTCGCCCCCGCCGATGTGCCGGAGTAGCAACCCCACGACCCCACTATCCGTGCCATATTTGGCTGCATGTCAATGTATTCCCCGTTTCCGAGCGCCGAACCGTGTTACACAAAGGAATATATCCTTCAAAAGCCTCCGAGCATTCACGAGAGTAGAACCTGCTCTCGAAGCTTTTCACATTGGGTGGGCTCATCGCCGAGCATACCTTGCAGAGATGCTGTCAGCTTTTGCTCTTCCCTTTGCACTTGTCGGATGTAGCCTTGTATAGTTCATCAGTGCTGCGCAGCATGTGGTCACGATTTCCGGGCGGCACAATCGCCGGATCTTCTGCGTGTCGGTTGGTACGGAAACTTATAGCTGTAACTACAAGTAACTCCACGTGAAGCTGCGGCATGTACTCCACGTGCGTGGGCGCACGCTTACCTTTCCGCTTCATTACTATCTTGTGAGGAATGAAGCCATTGACGAGTGCCATATCTATGAAGGCGAGAAATAGTTGGCGGTAGTATTTCTTGAATGCCACGCAACGCTGTATCGAATACCGCTGAAGGCGGATCTGGTCGTGGGTGTTCACGCCACCCATTCCAGAATGGTAGTCTGCGATCAATTGCGGGCACGGAACCTGTGTGAGAGCTCCTGTCTTCTTGTCCTTCCTCGTCACGTGGGTCTGCGTGGTGGAGCACCCCGTGGCGATCAGATGCACAGGACTGGAGTCCATCCAGGCCGTGGCAACAAGTGCTGGGTACTGTCTTCATTGCGCGATCCCGTACGTCCCCCTCGGCATGTACTTCGCCCTTTTCTTTTGTGGGAACATGAGATCTGACGGCCACCCAAGTCTGTCCGAACGCTGAGTACCGACGTAGTAGAACTCCACAGTAAGCAACGCGAGTGCCAACGCAGGCGAGCTGTAGAAGTTATCCACTACAATCAATCTCTGCCTCGCCTGTCCGTCAAACGTTTTTGTGATATTACGGATGACGGCTCTCTGTGACGAGCCTTGCTTCTTCTTCTTGTCTGGCTCAGCTCCTAGATAAACTTCAACTCTGCATCATACAGAATACCATTACGGCTGTAGTTAGTTGCTTGATGCCGCAGCTATACAGAACTAAATTGCCTACAGCATTCGTTATTCTGTCGTACGCAGAATTATTAGCTCACCTTGCGCAGTAACCGGTCTCGGCGCGTCCCTAGAAATTATGTACACTTAGTATACACATTTACCAATAGAATATACCAATCATCGTACAACAAAAATAGTCCGCATTGACGCGATCCTTGCGAAGCTTGCCCTTCACTCCAGGCTTTACGTACGTGTGACCGACGCTCAGCCCCGTCGGCGGCCTTGCCTTCCAGCCGTCCTTTACGAGCTGACTCCACAGCTTCTTGAACTTCTTCATATCCACACTGTCCAGCACGTCCATCGTTTTAAGAATGAGTGGCAGCTAGGTGGGGGGATAAAATGGCTGGGAACTAAATTTTCATACTTCTTCACCGCTTATACTGTATTTTCTATGGATGCCTGAAAATACCCGTCTATCTCACCAGCGCTGATCCTCAGTGATAACCCCCCCACCCAAAGCCCTTCAAAACTGTATATGCGGGGAATTTACGTCATCCTCCCCGCGTATAAGCTCTCGGAATATTTACACCTGCAATATCACTTAATCTGTCGAATACAGAATCCCGCGTTAATTGGGTTAAAGCGACCTAAAGTAACACTGGATGAGATGATGGAGCTCCTGGGTATATTGTTTACATGGCTCTCATTGACAAGGGTGAGTACGCCAACTACTGGGGCGACCAAGTATAGGACACAATATTTGAATCAGATAGCGTGCGGTTGGACCCGTTACTGTGCTTGACGCGGTTTGAGTTTATCCGTCAAAATCTTGGACCCCAGCCAAATACTCATCTTCCACATCCGAAAGTGATCATTTCTTTCCTTGCCTTTCCTTTACTCCAGAAGCCTTTACCTCAATGTCCTCTTCGTCTTCTTCTTCAGCTTCTTCTTCTTCTTCACCTTCTTTTGCTCTTACTTCTTCTGCAGCTCCTTCTTCGGCTTCTTGCTCTTCTATTCCCTCTTTTTCTTCTTCTGTGTAGGCCTCTTCCTCTGCGTCCTTAGTTCCTGTAGTAAGAGTTATAACGGGATCGTCGCTCTGGCGCTCGCTCGCGCGGCCGAACGCGGCAGCTTTATCAGAGCGCGCTCGCGCGCTTTCAACGTCTGCAACCCAAGTCTCGTTTCGCCGGCGTGTTTCTTCTTCTTCGAGGCGAACCTCCTCCACCATCTGTGCCTTGATCATGGCAGTCTTGTGGGTCCGTGTCATGGCGAGGGAGGAAGAGGGACCGCACTCATGGGGTCAGGGAGCTGCCGCGTGACTTGTTCTCCCAATCGGTGGTTGTGAGGAAAAATGTTTTTTTCAAAAATAAAAAAATAAATTTCATTCCTGGACAAAACTTGTTTAGAAATCTGGATAATACCTGTTTGGACGCCAATCATGCCGTTTTTTTAAATAATAAATAAACTATCTCCGAAAAAAAAACGGTTACAAGAACCCCACCAATTCAATAAAGAAAAACAAAACTCGTTTTTATGTGGCAAACATGAGCAAATTATGCATTTTATTAGGATAAAACAAGTGTTCTTGGAGAGAGTACTACCGCTGAAGTTCTAAAACGGGAAAACATGGGTCTTACAGCCCATCAGGACTTTGAATAGGGCTTACAGGTGGAGATGCTCTTACGGAGGACTCTCACATCGTAGAGTATCACACACACGAAGAACAGGTCATTTACTCTGGTGTCTACGTGTCCGTCAAAATAAATTAAGGGCTCACAGACAGAGTAAACATGTTGTATTTATAAACACCTCCAATTTTTTCTGAAGCGCTACCGTAACAACACTGTCGTGTAGCTGATAATCCGCTCCATCAGAAGAGTTTACAGTACTCTAAGTTGGCTATGCAACAGTAGTTACTGTAATTGCTGTTGCGTCGAAGCTGTGTCATGTCTATGCATGTAAATATGTAAGCACTTCGTACTGCATTTAAAATTGCTGAAAAAACTCGGTCTATTTCTGTGCTGAAGAACACAAGCATCAGTGTTCCGTCCAGTCTACAGTATCCTTGACTACATTAGCAGTGTTTTCGACCAATCTTTAAGTGTGGACGGATGCCCTATGTCTTCGAGCTCCCCTCAATGCTTGGGGAGCCATTTGCTTTGGAGCACCTTCTTTAGTCCGTAAGCAGACGCATTTAAAAGGCCACATCAACTGCGGAGGAAGTTCGAAGAGAGTATTTGAGTCTCGATCAAAGTGGTGAACGAATTTGGTGTACACTCCACTAACCCATACGCCAAGCACCGAGTCATAACAAAATACCTCGGTCCTACTTACGCAATAATACTTCCTGAAGGCTCAAACCTTCCAATAGGACCTACGCGATAGCACATAAAAACTATACTTTATTTGATCTCCACTGAAAGTCCGGAGAGATTAAAGCCTTCTCAAATACGTAAGACGTGTCTTCTAAGTCCCCTAGCAGACGCAACACAGGTCCTAAAACGTCCGACTGACTCATTACGCTCGCCATCCGGCAGTACACGGGATCCCACTCGAATCTCACCGAGCCTCGCATAATAAGTCGTTGATTCAGCAGCTTGTCACCCAGAGCGCGGCCTTTCTTACTTCCCGAGAGATGTGGGAACACATTCCGCAGTGTCCTCTCTACCCTAGTGGTCGTCTCAGCGACTATGGAATGCCTAGTCTTTACCAGTCTTTCCGGCTCGAGTTCCACGTCCTGGAACCACATGGACAAACATTTCCAGCTCCTCAGCATCGCTTCTGGGCCACGACCAGCATTATACGCCACGTCCGGGGCCATAGCGTTGCGTAGCAAGTCTTGCTGGGCTGACGACTCAGTAGCACCAGTCGTCTTTAGACCGTAGCGGAACAGTCGAAAGTACTCAGTCGTGACGCTCCACACATCCTCCTTGGCCGGGATCCCTGAGGATACAGAGCGTCGACGCTTCTCGAGTGTGTTGATCTCATCTTGCAGCTGGTGGGTCTCATTTTCGAGGGCATTGGCGTAGTCGTCTTTCTTCTTCCGGTATCTAATCTGCCGTAAGCGACGAAGTTCTCGGAGTCTCTTTTGATCGCCAAGAATTTGGTCCACAATTTGGGCGTGTTCAGAAGGAAAGGACTTTCTCTTCTGAGCTACGGAAGCATCATCGACGGTATTGACTGGTTCAGTTTTCAAAAGACGACGTGGAGGGAGAGGGGGGCCGCTACCGTCTTGCCAACGAAAGTCTGCACTGGTGCTTAAGTATTGCTTGGTCTGGTTGGCACGCAACGAGGGTAGGAGAGAATGCGTCCTACTAGAAGTCCTAAAGTGTCCTATTGTCCTAAAACCTGGGATAAAAAACTAGCAATTCGGCTCATAAACAAACCCATATTTAGGACAACACAATGAGTTTTAGGACGAAACAAGCCAGGGTCCGCGTGTCCTAATAGGACACTCGACAACTGGACACTCAGTCTGTCCTATTAGGACAGACTGCAACTCAGACCACTGTCCTATTAGGACAACACCAAGCCCAACATGCACTGTCCTCAAGCCATATCCTCAACTGGCCTAGCTAGAAACAATAAACATCTTAAAGCCCCTCTCTCCAAGAGCAGCCGATTCTTTGTTGTGCGCGAAAAGCACCTCAACAAAACTTCTCTACTACAAAGTGTGTGACAATATTTTTAAAGTGTTTCAAAGGATGATAGTCATTGAAGGTAATAATAGCCGCTAATAACGGTTGAGCGACTTCAACATGCACATAGCAAACGACGGTTAATAATCAGAACGTGACGACATAGGGGGGGGCTCAAAAAGCAGCAAAGTACTCGCAAGGGCTACTTGGCTGCAAGTCGATCCGAAGACGCGGTTCGCAAGCGATGGGGGTCTTGGTTAGCGCGGCGGTGTGCTCGGCCTGGTTCGTCGAGTTGTCTGGCGTCGTCGGGGTGTCGACAACAGGTGCGTTTGTGGCAGGCGAGTCCGGGCTGGGAGCCGACGTCGATGGGCAGTTGGACGGCACGTAGACTACCAGGTCGGCCTTCAGGTTGGAACCGACACCGACCGGCAGTTGGCACTCCTCCAGGTTCATGGCCTTCACGTCAGCGAGCAGGGTGTTGCAGGCAGTCGAGGCGCACATCTTGTCAATGGTGGCCTGGTCCGGGATCTCAGTGGTCCGTGCCGCACTGTTGAATGTTCGCGCTCGTGAGCAGAGCGGACAAGACACTGCTTCCGCAGGTGGCAGCAGAGGCCAGATAGGCGAGCGCCCTAGCTGCAGAAGGAGTAGCCGCAATGGTCCATGATGCTTGGCTGCAGTAGTGGAGATTCAGAAATGGTTGGTGTGCCCCAGGACAATAAGTAAAGCCAATGTGAGTTTTAAGTAACTCTTACGTAAATTTACGTAGATAGTCCGGAAAAAGTTAATATTTGAGGTTTAGGACAATCTGGAGGACACAAATTATAATATTCTGTAACGAAGGATTAGTCGCTTTTTAGGAAAATCTCCCTGTAAAATTTAGGACAAATAGGACAGTTTAGGACGTGTCTTAGGACGCATTATCCTACACCCGCAACGAGACGCCGCCGATGACGTCGTCGCTGAGAAGTTTACGCTTAGGCGGTTGAAGGAGGCAGCTATTCATTCTGAGTGGACAATGGGCACGTTTAAAGTGAGTCGATCGGAGTGAACAGTGAAAATGAGAAATGATGGTCACAGCGTTTACGGTTCAGTACATTTGCGAATCCAGCCGGACTCTCGAGTCGAGACTAGAGAGCACACAGCTGCCCACGCAATCAATGATGCGAAATATCGATGTGTCATCCACTGGGTGTCTACTTCGCTCTTTTATTGGATTTCAAGAATGGCAGTCGAAGTATTTCCGTAAATCAGTACAAAAGCAGTACTGAGTTTTTATAAAAATATTGCTGATATTCAACCCGAATTGAATAACTAATGTCAGTAGAATGTAGTCGTTAGAAAAAGTAATCTATGTTAGCGCCGCAAAATCGACTCTAGTCTTTAAATTTTGCACGTAATTTCAGTAGAAAGGGCCCTTTTCTTGGAGGTACATGGTACTGCTGAGCTGGTAAGGCGATTTTATAGGCTAGGTTTTGTATGTATTTGGCATTACATTGAGGAGCGAAGTAGCTTTTTGCGTAACATTTCTGATAAACTTTTCCGTGCCCAACCTCTTAAAATAAACGATAAAAAATTCGGCCAATCAGTTCAAAGGCAGACTCTGATTCTGCTTTGAATGCCAAAATCTATATTAAATATGGAGATTTTGGACAATCAAACCGGTCTTGCATTTATTATGCTCCGTTGCATAAATCTCTGGCCCGATCGAAACATCGGAAGATTGAGCCGTCCGACAATGCAGTCTGGAAGTTGGCACATTCTTAGCGATCAAAAGCATTCGGATCGATATTCATGGCCATCAGGCCTGCGTGGCCCACGTGGCGCGGCGATCGGTGCTGTTCGAAGCACAACCAGAACTTTTAACGTTATTAGCGTATGTCCTCGTCAAGCATTACTATTATGAAACTTCTGATTTCAGTTGCAAAAATACTGATTTATGGAAAAGCATGCCTATCCTAGTTCCTGCTCCGTCACCGGGTTGCGTTCTGGCAGAGCTTCTGCAGCACAAAACAACGTTACGACAGCAACATACCGGTATGCACTGGACATGGAATGGTACCCCTAGTTCCGGTAGGGATAGTACAGTACTGCACCCGTCTTTGCGGGGGGGGAGCATATAGGATTTGCAAAACTATAAGATTTTAAACTACAGTCAATCGTTAATTTGAATGCAGGAGCATCACATCAAGAAGTTTATTAAAAGTCCAAGGGCGTGAAAACGGGTTGTAGTACTGTACAGTACCGGTATCACAATTAATAGAGGGTACAGACAATCCCCTCGGCACTTGGAAAGATGGCCAGACTTCCTGGAAAGAGTGGCAGTCCGGCAGCGAGCGACTAATGCAGAACAGATCAGAAAGACAATCACATTGATTGATCGTCTCAATACATATCAGGCTTCAATAGGAAAAAAAGATTAACAAAATAGAAGGCCAGCTTACCACAATCCCCTCGGTAGTAGTACCAAGACCCTTAATACCGCCCCCTTTCTCCCCCTCAGGTGTAAAAGAAATTAAAAAAGGCACGTATTCTTATGGTGGGATGACTAACTATGGGAAAGTCTGATTGTACAGGACGCCAAAAAGGCTTGCATAGCATAGCAGCGGTTCCAAACTATACTTCACAAACGTTTCTGGTCGTTATCCCACAGATCTCCTCAAAATAGATTCCTTATACCCGTCGACGACATCCAGTAGCAGCACCACAAACGATCAACTTTAACAACTCAGCCCCCTGATAACCGTGGATACATCAACCCGTTCGTTAGATCAAATGTGGTGGCTGCTACGATGACAAGCAAACGAGAGCCAGATTGTCGGTAGCTAACGGTATGTAGAACCATTTGTTTAAGGTTTGACAGTGTTTATAGTCTTATTTACTGCTGGTTCGACTGGTGAGCTAATGGAAAACAATGATCCATTTTTATGGATTAATACATCCCAAGATAGTAATCCCCTTAAATAAGATATAACAGCGGTCTCCTGACGCTGTGACTACCGACGGTATTATTGTTGGAGCCCCGTTGACCGGCAGCATACGAGCCCAAGTCAAAATTACCTCTAACATACCAGATTGTACATACTGATACAGAATCCATGATTATGAGTAAATAGGAGTCCTTAACTAAACACAATGATTGTTTGGTGAGTTACATCCAAAAATGTCCAGCAACGACATTTGCTTCTTCCAACACCCATTTCAGTGAGTTCATCTACGACAACGTTCTCCCCCTGGCAGGTTTACTAATAGCAGCTATTCGATGGCCGTCAGATTCCTGTGTGCAAGCGCAACATCATCACGGCAAATTCGTCGGTGACTTCAGGACTCTCATATTCGCAATTATGGTAGTCCTGGAGACCCGTGTGCTTCCTGTAGCTCACAAAGACGGGTGGGGGTATGATTCCAGAGCTGCACGCTCCATATTAGGGACTTGCGCCTGCTCACGCTGTACAACATTGCAGACATGTAATCCATAAACAGAAAGGCGATGTAATCGTCTAGTGGTCCCTCTAAATAGTGATAAAAGGTGGTATTTAAAAAAAACTGTGCTATATCACTACATAAAGGAATATCAAAAAGTACAAACTGAAGCCAAACACAATTTACAGAACCGAGCAGAATGTATTAAAACGCTCTGACATTTATTTGTGAGGTTTGATCCCTTCCTCCTGAGTCCTATGTCTTCATGTCTCACTGTGGTCACCCCACCTGGAATCCAGGCTCTGGCACCGATTGGCGTGTAAGAGTACACTTCGAATTAAGGCTTTATTGAGTAAAAGCTAATTCAGATGCTCTTACTGTTAAAAAAGTAAGAATGAAGTTTGGAAACTATTACATGGAGAAGGGAAAAAGTCACTCTGAAGCGTAAGCGGAGTCTGGTTCATGACACGTGTAAATACCTCTTCAGCTGAGACTGCACGCTCTACATGAAGCAACTTGAATGAGGATGCCCTGTACCCATTTACGATGCAGTGGATACTTAAGTATTGTACATAAAGTATGTACAGTCGTGCACCTCCAATTCGGCAGGGCGGACCATATCAACAGTGCCAGAGCATGTGCACAACGTAAAGCAAAAAACAAACGCAAATCCAGTGCACTGATATTTTATTTTTTAATTCAGTACAGCATTCACGTCAATCTTCTAATCTTGGCGTCAGACGCGCGAATCGCGGGCGCGCAACAGCGCTTCCGGTTGCGATAGGCGTCCGGCAAGACGGCAACTTCCGCGAACCGCTTAAGAATACTCTGGACGGTAGTGCGCTTTACTGCTTGGGGGGTCTTAAAGCGCTCCGTTGCCCAACGAGCAAGTTCGGAGTGAGACCGCAGGATCTGACTTGTGCTTCTCGCACAAAGACTGCTTTTGTGGGACATGTAGGAGGAAGGGCGATGTCCCATTGTCTTTGGCGGTAAAAATCAAAGTGGGTGTTTGTAAGAAGACGTCCGATCCAAAATTTAAAATCAGATCGATGCGGCGTGTCATCCCTCGGCGAGGAGGGGAAAACCGTTGAGGTTAATTGCTAGGGTGGTGATGGGCAAAGGTAATTGCGCATCCGATTCGCGTAATCATAAATCTGGCAGGGTATCGACTGATACCGGTGCCGAATTGGAGGTGCACGACTGTAGTTCACTGAGCTGCATTAGATTGGCAGGCTGCCAATCTGCTGCCAATGGCAGCGGCTTCCTGAAGGAGTCTCACGCGATCAGGTCAAACACTGTTCTGAACAGTGTTCAGTCCGGTTACGCTCTCCAAATCGTGCGAATCCTTTCAAAATCTTTTCTAGCCTCAAGTCATTTGTTGAGGACTACGTTTCGTGCTGTGTTTACGCGTCACGTGCCACCTTTCACAATTCATAATCTTATGTACCGGTAGTACATGTACAGTACAGTACTGTGCAAAGAATAGAGACTGTATCTGTGTGGTCCACCGAACTGCCGATCGTGATCCCCATTCTACGATTCGAAGCCCCAGACAGGAAGACTATTCTCTCTCATGGACACTTGCCTTCTTCACCCGCCAACCAACCGCGTCCTTAGCGATGCAGTGATCGGTGGAGTGGCGCAGCGCTCTTAAAGGAACAATACACGTAGTGGGGATCCACTGTATTGGTCTCGGTCTTCCGACCAAGAGGCGATGAAACAAAACGCCCCTACGTCTGTGCGATACGACGGCATCTCGTACACTCAACCGTTGCCCGTGGACCGGAAAAGGAAACGTCAGGAGCCCATTAGTCCCACTAGCTCCAAGCTCGTGCTACTGGCCGAGTCCAGCAGCGATATCTCCTCCCACGACTCCCTAGCCGAATTTGTCAAACAGGATTGGTTCATTGAACAACAGAACCAACTTCGAGAGATCCGTCGGGTCCGTCAGATCCGATACCGAAAGAAACAGCAGGACTACATGGAGACTATGGAGGAGAACAACCGCCACCTCCAGCAAGAAATCGACAAGCTAGAAGAACGACGTAGAGCGGTTGCTGCTGCGGTGCCCTCTAAAAAGACGCTGTGGTACGTGGCCGTCGAGTACTTCCGTCTGTTCCGGTACGGTCTACGCGCCTCCGACTTGTCTGATAGGTCGCGTGAGTCCACTGCCAGTGCTTAACTCGATTTCTTGCGCTCTACGATGGCTCCCGACGTCATGTACAACGCCGGACGAGGAGTCGAAGCGATTATGAGGAACTGGACCTACTTCTCTCGTGGTTTCAAGACGTCGAGGTAGAGCTCGATGGCTTACAGAAGAGTGGGACCGAGTCGCTTATCGCTTGAACTACTACCACGTTTACCATAACACAGCATACTTTAATTAAGGTGTTCCCGCACCTGTGCGGTAAAGACGCTGATGCAACAGGACGTCTGCTTGCGTCCAAGCTTCTGGACCAGTCCATCGCTATTCACGGCTCGACGCGTTTTGATTGGGATATCGGATACGGTCGCGTGACGAGTGTCATCAGCGAGTCAGATATGTTGACACCGATGCTGCAAGTTCTAGGGAGATTGGAGTACGTGTCTCAGGTGTTTGAGAAGTCTCTGACGCCGTACCGTGGGCAGTCAGGATCAACTTGTAGGAAGTAGAGGAGATAGGTACAGTGGTCACGGTAATTAATCTAAGTTGATAAATAATCTCATACACTAAATATTCTCACTCAAGTTTGTTCAGAATAATTCACGTGAACAAACTTTTTCAGAGTTCATTATTAATCTCACTTGTGGGTGATATCTTGTACTCACTATCGGGTTTGCTAATTGTGCAGTGGTTAATGATCTCCCTAGCCAATTTCTGCATTGTGAGTTCAAGTCCCGCAGCAGCAGTGCATAGGGTATCAATTCTCTCTTTTAGAGTTAGGTCTGTGGTGATGTTTGTTCTGTGGAATGTTCTGTTGGCATCCGTTGGTTGCTCGGCTGTAAACACTGATGTTCGTACTTAAGAAAAGTTTCACTGTATCTATTTTATAATACCAACAAAAGTACCAATTGGCTGTGGCTCTAAATTATATGATTGCATGTACTTGTGTCTAAACCTTCTTCATTTCATGATTTTTTTTTAAATAATTCTCTCTGCCACTGTACAGTCCAGTGCCAGATCTATGTTCTAACTGTAACTCCACCTTCGGGTATAATTTATACCGACATGTAGGTGTGAGATTTATTTCAGGGCTACATAAAATAATAGCAATGAGATTTATTTTACCAAACACTATTTAATGGGAGTTCATTAATACTCTCACGGAGATCAATTGCTGTGTGAAATAAAACAATTACTCCACACAAAATAATTTCAATGAGATTCATTACCGTGACCACTGTAGCTGTATTACTGTATAAGTCACAATTTGACAACTATGGTCTTGATCCCTAATGTTCATTTAATCACCCACAGAAGCTCAGCCCGCACATTGTCCAAAATCACAAACGTTATATTTTATATAGGTTTTTGTATTGGACCGGCTAAAAATTGTGACCACCTTGGCAAAACTCTTTTTTTGTAAATGAGCCTTCCTAAAAAGTGCAATAAAACGCGTATTATGCAACTTTTGTGAAAACCGCAACGTCAAATTTAAAAAACTGACCTAGTTACCATGGTATTGGCAGGTGGAGGTAGAATTGTGTGGGCCTTTGACCCGTTTATTTTAGTGTCAGTACTTAATAAATAAGGAAAACAGTAAGGAAAAACATAGATGTTTATCTTCGTTTCATTTGCCCAGTCTAAGATGTTAATTTCTTAAATTTCGCGAAGATCTTTGAGCTTTTCTTCAAGCAGTAATTCAGAAGAGGCTCCTAAGGACCGGGGTGAAGCGGTTATATTGTCGTATATACATGAGCAACATTTTTCGGGAAATATTGATGTTCCAAGATTGGAGTCACGTTAGTACAACACTAAATTACTTTGTAACAACGTCTCGACAAGTTTTTATAGCAAAGCTTTCTGTGAGCTGTGAGATTACCTGCGTGTCGACCACCAGTGCAATGCAGTCTGCCAGTGTCCAGTGCCCCTGTCTACGAGCAACCATCCACTGCCATGTCTGCAAGACACATCCCAAGGACACTCATGCGCTTGGCAGTGCAGCTTGCGGCTGCACTACAACCGGCTACACTGAGTACACATGTGTGCAATGGCGAAGGATTCTACCAAGGCTTGTATGCGCAAGGACATCGTTGGCTGTGCGCTGCCAAGATGGTGTACTCAACCAGAGTGCATTTATCTAGAGTTTAGTATTGACTTATTTGCTATTTGTATACTAATCTACGTTTGCGGTACAGCGGTGTTCTGGCGGAGGCTGCTCCCCACTTTGCGTTTTAACGCCTGCCGCTCATTCAAGAGCAGCAGAGAAGAGCAGCCTTACCAGACACCGCGGTCATGTCGCGGCCTTTTGCCCGGCACTTACGTGTTTACGTTACTTCCTGATTAGTTTTCTAAAGTTGACATTTAAGTGTATTTACATTTAAATGGCTCCTACTCTTAGAAGCGATCGACACATGGAGAACAATCCCCCCGTGACGAACCCTACGTCACCACTGGTTATGAGCCCAATCAGGGCGCAGTCTGCGACTGACGTGGCTGCTGGCGTTCCAGACACAAGTTCTGGAATTTCGACCAATCAAGATCAAGCTTCAACCCCATTGGCAGGAAATTCAAGCTTGAACAATGACGCATCACTCTCGCACAGTGATGCAGAAAAACTAATTCGTTCATTGACTGGAATTCTGGGTGGCCGCCCGTTATTCCAAATGTTACTCGAAAGTATGCATAAACTTTCGTCGACGAACACGGAAGAATCCGTGCCAGTTGACAATCCTCTCCAGTCGCCGCTAAACCAACAAAACGGCGACCGAGACCCCGACGATCCGTGGCGCCCTCTAGACAACATGAACCCTACTGGCCGCTACATCGATGGCGAGCTTGCTGAGTACACCAAGGTCCTCATCAGCTCGCCCCCGATCAAGCTGCCCAAGCTCCATCGGAAGGGTGACTACAAGGCCTGGAAGAGCGAGGCACTTCGAGCCGAAGATGCTGGGTGACATCACCTACGGCCCTGAGCGTTGTGATGCAGTGGAAGGCATGCGTCGTGATAAATATCGCGTGTGGTACAAGTCGCGTAAGAACAAGGCGTTCTCAGCGCTTGCGTTGTCGCTGTCTGTTGACCTACGTACGACATTCAAGATCGACGATATCCACGACAATATGGACGCCGCCGCTATGCTCTACGGTGCAATCACGCAGCACTTTGAGGCTGGAGATGACATTTTATCCTGATTACCTACCACAAGAGCTAGTGACGCGCTGGCTCAAGCGAACGAGTCGGTGTCGCAGTACGTTGGCGACATCGCGAAGAAGGCAACACTTCTACATCAATCTAATGGTGACTTCGCTGAGTGGCAACATGCAAGCCTACTACTGTCGAACAGCGTGGAAGCGTTTAAAGATCTCGCCCGTGAACATGGTGATTGGCTTTATAATCATGATCGCAAGACTCTTACACTTGCTGAAGCTCTACAGCGACTGCGCGCTGCTGAGCACCAGCGTGACCAGCTGCATGTGCAGACCAGACAACCAGTCGCGCACTCAATGCAAGTCGCTCACGTCGGAACGGATCAAGGGCAAGGTCAAGCACGAGGACGCAAGCGCAACAAGCCACAGCGCAAGCGGTCCAAGGGCGTTGCAGACAAGAAGCAACGTACAGCTGCGCGAGCTGCCAAGGAGAAGGACACTGGTACGCCGAGTGTACGGCTGTCACTGGTCAGCAACTGAAGCCAGAGCTTGACAGGAAAACTGCAAGAGAGAAGCCCCAGGGCTTCTGTGTCGTTGTGTACTCTGTATGTCGTGTGGACACTGTGGATTTGGACGAAGATGGCCAAGGGCTGTTTGCTGGCCTATCACTATGCGATGCGAATGCAATTGATCTTACCGACGGTGCTGAGCTATCGCCTACGGCTACGCAATCACCTGTATGGTCATTAACGTTCTCTGCGGATAGTGAAGAAGGAGGAGAGCATCGAGTCGTTGAAGGTGCGTATGCAAGTACGCAGCGCACTCAATCGACGGTTGCGCAAGCAACGCAGCGACTGCAGCTGCAGGCTGCGGTTCCTGTTCGACACATACAAGTTAGAGGGCAAGGACTACAGCAACGGCGACAATAAACCTCACTGTCTACACTGCAAGCACCGGTAGCTGTGCAAGCTGCCATACAATCTGCGGTACAACCCGAGGTGCAACCTACTGGACAACCTGCTGTTCAACAGGATGTACAAACTACTGTACAGCGAGGTCTGCAGCCTACTGTATCTAGCACTGCGTATAATCAGGGGGAGGGCGGCTGGTCTACAGCTGGACCAGGACCTACGTGAAAATCAGTAATCTACTACTTGGGACAAGGACTGTCGAGTAACTCGAAAGGGCCTACACTTGAGCCATGGCGCAATCAAGCTGAGCCACAAGGGGGTTCGGCTGTGCCGGGGGATAGCTGTCGAGGTCCTGATGTCGGGTTTAACAGACGCCAAGAACCAGGGATGCGCAATGATTACAGACCTAACTTGGGGAGCGCGTACGAGAGAGGACTCTGGAGTCAAGATGTTGGACACTTTGACCCTTCTATTCAAGGACGAGGACGAAGTCGTTCACCACCCCGATTCTTCAATCGAGAACGAACTCCACCAAGAGAAAGAGGCCGTTCTCCGTCAATGCGAGGACGTGAACCAAGAGGGAATCCAGGGCGCTATCGATCTCCACCGCGTCCGCAGCAGTGGCGTAACGAGAGACCGAGTCGCTATGAGCCGCCACCCCAACGCGATGATCGACTGAGTCGCTATGGACCGTCGTCTCCGCAGCAGCAGTGGTGTGATAATCCTTTGAGAGGCAGAGGACCTTCACCTCGACGTGACAACTACCAAGGGCGGAACATGTCTCCACGTCGATTTGAAGACCGTCGTGGCAACAGACCTTCTGCCTCTCGTCAAATCAACGCTGTGAACCAGTACCAAGGTATGCAATCTGCTCAGTCTGAGTTTCTGGAGTGGATACTTGACTCAGGATCCCAGGTAAATGTCTGTGGTGACCTGTCATTGTTTACTACCATAAGGGAAGACCAAGCCAGTCGACTTGACCTTGCGAATGGCACAACTGAACACACTTCTGTTTGTGGGTCTGTGCTATTGCGTGCTGTTAATCAGGCAACTGACCAGCTCGAGGACCGTCTCCTGGACGACGTGGTGTACACACCGAACGCGAAGGTGAACATCATTTGTCTGGGCTACCTACAGACGAAGGGCAGCTTCAAGTTGACATGCTCATATGATCAACAGACCGCTTGAATCTCCAAGCCAAGCACAATACTCAAGTTCATGATGCGTGACAGTATTTACCGACTACGTGCAGAGCGAGTGACTGGAGTGATGGTGATGGCAGCTCTAAAAGAGGACATGAACAGCAAGAAATCCATGGAGCTGCTTTATCAGCGATTTGGTCATATGAGCATGGAGACGGTGAAAGTGTTGGCAAACAAACTCGATGTTGGAGTTAAGATGAATCAGAAGGTCTGACTTCGTACGAGTGCGTTGATTGTGCTGCCAGTAAGGCGGTAAGAATGGCTTATAAACGGATTCCATCACGGAGGTCCGAACCTTTGGAGACTCATGATGGACATTTGGTCTGTGAACGAACAGTCTGTGGATGGAGCTACTATGAATCTCTTCATCATAGACGAGTCTACAAGGTAAAAGTGACCGTTCCTACTTAGGAAGAAGAGTGAAGCAGCGCTTCACAT